AAGGTCTGGAGGAGGCTACATGACAGGGGACTCAGGACAGCTGTGGCTGGCTGGCACAAGACACTGCCCATGAAGGGTGGGGGACCTGCATCCCCCACAGCCCAGAGGGGCCCCCCTGCCCTGCGGGAAGCCACAGCTCTGCACCTCTGAGCCCAACAGCACCACAGGGGAGCTGCCGCATGAAGGCCAGTCCCGTGCCATCCTAGATGGGCACAAACAGCACCCCAGCCCTCCCGCCAGCCCACCCACCTCCACACAAGGCTGGTGGGAGGAAACCACCCGTCTCTTGAGCCAGGCAGAGGAGCAGCACAGCTCGTCTGCCCAGCTCCTTCCAGCCCCAGGGTCCCACGCAGAAAGCACAGAGGATGGGTGGGTTTCTCCGAGGCCCCAAAAGGGGCCCTGGTAGGAGGCAGGCACAATGGTGTCCCCAAGGCTCTGAAGGGAAGCCCTTGCCCTAGACCAACTGACAGCATCATGGAAACGCTGCACAGAAACTGTCACGGGGGAGGCATGTGGGGTCTCTCCCTCAATACAGTGAGAAGAGAGAAGAACTGCTCAGCAGGAGGGCAGGGCCAGGGCGCAGGCTCCCCTGCTGGGCCCTTCATGGGAGGAGGCAGGACCTGCCCTGCTCTGGCCCACATTGCAGTGAGGAGGTGCAGTGAGCCCAAGCCTGCAGAGTAGTCCCAGGAGCCACAGGGCAGCCTGCACCCCCCACTCATGCAACCCTGCAACCCTGGTCCTATTTCAGCCTTCCAAGCCTACATGCGGAAACATGGAAGCACAGGGCACACAGGGGGTCAGTCATCGCTGCACACCCACAGCCTCAGAAGGACTCACCCTGACACCCCCACATCTCCCAGCCTGCACTGAGCAGCTGGCTCAGGCCAAGCTTGGCTTCCTGCGCCTTCCTCCAAAAACCCTCAGGCAGGGCCTGGGCTGAGCAGTGCAGATCTCCTACACAGTTCTAAGCCTTTCCATCTTTTCTGGAGGCCTACCCTGAGTCACCCCAGGCCCCAGCTAGCCAGCACTGTGCCCCCCAAGATGGGCAGCAGGGAGGCAGCCAGTCTAAAGTGAAGCCTGCCTGGCTGAGTTTTGCAGCATCTTTCTGCCCACAGGGGCAGGGCTCCAGCCTTCTCATGTGCGGCAGCTCATGATGCCCACCTGAGGCCTGTTCCACCCCTACCTGACTCAGGAGCTGAGAGGGGAGCTGGAACTGCTCCTCCCTGCCCTTGTTTGCCAAGAGCCATTACCTTTTCCCAGAAGTTCCCCTCACAACCGACTGAGGCCTGTGCAGTGCACAGAAGCTCGATCCTGTCCCACAGAGAGCAAGGAAGATGCTTCACAGCTACCAGGTTTACCCCCATGTGTACACACGGCCACCTCTTACACAGCCATACAGGGCAGAGAGATCAGCCTCAGGGCCCTGCCTACGAGGCCAGTCGGGAACGGGTTCTCAGCTGCACACAGCCGGCCCAGGAGGAGGGAACAGACCAGCTGCTGGAAGTGTTGGGAGCAGAACTTGGGAGGGGAGGGCTGCAGCTGAGCAGGTAGGCCCTGGCCACTCCACGCTGACTAGTGGCAGGGGCCACAGCCCCTCTTCCCAGAAGTTCCCCTCACAACCGACTGAGGCCTGTGCAGTGCACAGAAGCTCGATCCTGTCCCACAGAGAGCAAGGAAGATGCTTCACAGCTACCAGGTTTACCCCCATGTGTACACACGGCCACCTCTTACACAGCCATACAGGGCAGAGAGATCAGCCTCAGGGCCCTGCCTACGAGGCCAGTCGGGAACGGGTTCTCAGCTGCACACAGCCGGCCCAGGAGGAGGGAACAGACCAGCTGCTGGAAGTGTTGGGAGCAGAACTTGGGAGGGGAGGGCTGCAGCTGAGCAGGTAGGCCCTGGCCACTCCACGCTGACTAGTGGCAGTGGCCACAGCCCCTCCCCTCAACAAAGAATACCACTGCCAGCCTCCTGGGCAGCCTGGCTCCTCCCAGAAGGCCCTTCCCTATGAGAGGTGGTGCTAAGCAGGCCCCACTCAAGGGAGCAGAGGCTGGGGTGTCCCAGTGGAGAGCCACACAGTGCCAGATGTGGGCAGGGGAGCAGGGCTGGACTTCAGGGCACCAGTCAAGAGTGGGGTCACAGTGCTGACAGATGGTAGGGGGCCCTCTTGGGTGTCAGCACCTGAATCACGCACTGACTGCAGCTCCTAACAACAATCTGACAGTTGCCCTGTCCTTGGCAAGGAGGCTGAGGCACAGAGCAGGGATGGCAGCCCAAGGTCACAGCATGTGGGCAGAGCCTCAAAGTTCTGCAGGGACTGACCCCACCTCTACTTGTTGGGGCCATCCCAGGCCTTGGGGGCACCTCAGAAGTGGTATAGTGGGACTCCCCAAGGCCCCAGCCCCAGCTCTGCATCCACCCTCCCGGGAGCTCCCAGCAGGCCAGGGGACTGGCTGCGGACAATGAGCCCAGGCCAGCTGGAGTAGCCCAGTCACTCCTGCAGCACATGGCATCTCCAGGACTGTGCAGCCCCACAGAGGCACCGTCCCCCCAGCAAGTAGGTGGGTGGTGCCAAGTTCTTCCTGGGGGCTCGGCCCTACCTACGCACCTCCCCTGCACTGCCTCAGCTCCTTCTCACACCCCCCAGTGCGGCCAAGCCAGGAAGAGGCGAAGCCAGTGCACTTGCCTGGGACATGCAGGACCTGGGCCCTCAGAAAGGGTCCCCCAGGGGAATACAGGCCAAGCATACATGCATCTTTTTGAGGTGTCATGTCTCCCCTACTGGAGTGGGGAGCAAGGCTTTTCTCTTCTACTCTGCCACAACCCTAGCTCCTGACTAGAAATAGAACTCCCACATTGAAAGAGGACCATGCCAAGGTCAGTGGGCAAGAGCTGCCATGGGGGGATTCTTCTTGCTGAGGTGTCCTGAAACCTGGGGACTCAACACAGGGGCTTCTATGGAAGGGGTCAGGTCAGAAGGGGTGTGCTTGCCCGGGCAAGCATCTGTCAGGTGTCTCTGTTGCTGGTCACGTGACGGGGCCCTCCTACTCTGAGCACTGCGGTCCAGAGCTGCAGCAGCACCAACCCACCCTCAGTTGCCTTCCCTTGGGATCCCATTCACCCCTGAAATAGAGCAGAATGGCCCATGGTCTTGGCAGAGCCTGAATCACTGCAGACATCATTAGTGCTCATGATGCACCTTTAAACACACCACGCATGGCACCTGGGGAGGAGCACTGCAAGCCACAGGTGCCTCTCTGACTAAAGACTTGTTTCTTTTGGCTCATTAATCAGTTATTGCCCTTTGAGTTCAGCAAGAGCTCCATCCCAGGTCATTAAGCAGCCTCCCAGCCTAGCTCTTCACGCACACCCAACTCAAGCTCCCTCCAGGGATGCCAGCTACAAAGGTGCTGGCAGACAGGACCCCCCAGTAGGGACCCCCATGCTGAGAGTTCAGGGCCCCTCGGGGATGGGAGTTGGCTGTGGTAAAAGGGATGTTCTCTCTCTGCTCTGCGCCCTGCCCCGGAGTGGCCTGGACTGGGGCCTCTGCTCCTGGGAGGCCACTGTCAACTGGTCAACCCAGCAATCCAGCATGCAGAGCCAGGCAGGTGTCGCGCACAGAGGCTGCACCCTCAACTCACACCTCTCCCAGCGCCCCACCAGGAAGATAATTTTGGGGTGAGCGATCCTTTTGCTGACTCCTGGCAGAAGGCAGGGTGGGGAGGGTGGCCACTGGAGACTCTCCTACCGCAAGCCCCCCACCTCCGTCTTGCAGACATGAAACTGCGGCAGGACAATCTGCTGCCTCCTACAGGCACTGGCCTGGTGTCCTCACAGGGGCTATAAGCGATGGCGTTTCGGAATCCAGGGCCCGTGCCCCTGCCTAGCTCAGGCAGCTGATTTGCTGCCAGCCTCTGGGAGGCCCCTGAGCCTTTCCCAAACTCTCCCTCGGCCGGCTGCTCCGGGGAAGTGCCATACTTCACACCAGCGAGAGTGCATTCTCTACAAGCTGCAGACACCCGCCGCGGGAGCCGGCGCACCATCCTCGCTCTTGCTCACGCCTGCCACTTCATCGCTCTGCTGGTGGTGCCCAAACAGCAATTAGTAGAAAAGCTGCCAGACCCCATCACGGATCTGTGCAGCTCGGAAGGCACCGTGAGGAGGAAACACAACACTGCCACGACTGATTTAGACAGAGCGGAGCCGCACAGAACAACAGCAAATGGGTTGGCAAGAGCTCAAGGAAGGGCTGGGTCCTCTCCATGGGGCTCTGTGGGCCCGCCTGGGTGCAGGAGTGTTCCTGGACAGAGCCAGCCAGGAAGGGGCCACAGCCCTGGAATGAGCGCCCAGGTTCTAGTCGATTCTAGGTCAGTGTGCCACAAACACTGGGTGGCCCCACTCTCTCGGGCATAGTCTCCCCATCCACAAATGGGCAGGGGAGGCATATGGGCTATCTCTTAGGTCCCTTCCATGCCAATAAACCTTAACATGCTGACCCCCCTGGGCACACCCTGTAATGCCCACAACTTCCCGGCTCCCTCAGGAGGTCCTGGAATGGTCCCTAGAACAGGGTGGCCAATGAGAAGCAGGTGCAGGTGGGCCCTGAGCCCCACTCCCTCAGCCCCTCCCCACAGCACAGATGCAGCAAGTGGGGACAAATCCCAGAAAAATGCAAGGCTGGGACTTCCATGGCCACAGGAGAACTGCCCTGGGTCTGGGCCTGGCCTACACACCCGAGATTCCCAGAGCCCCTGCCAAGTGCCAGACCCTTCCAGGAGCCAGGCCACAGACAAGGCAAGACAGTCAAGGCCCCTCCTGCTCAACTGCACTGGCCAGATCCACGTGGCCAAGGGGTCCAGAGTTCACAGCCTGTGTCGCAGGTCAGGTGGCCCTCCTCACACTTGCACGGGCCTGACACAGAGGAGCCTTGGCTGGGCAATGAGGCTGAACCCTGGAGCTAGCCCCAGAACCAGCCCCACCCCCCCAGGCCCACCACCCTCTCACACCAGCAGCAGAGCAGGGCTGCAGCCTGGGATGGGCTGCAGGGTAAGAGTGGGTCAAGGGACTGACGCTGGCCCAGGAGAGAAGACAACACTGGCCCCTGTGAGCTCTGGACACACCCCCACACCTCCATGTGGGCAGCACCTTCAGGGCAAAGGGGTGAGCCGTGCTCCTCATAGCGGTGGTTGTGTGGTCCTGGGGTTCAGCCTCTTGAGTGGGGACAGAAGGGAGAGGGGAGGGCAGCAGCTTGCTTCCACCCACAAGACCCTCATGCAGGGTGACCTGCCAGTCTCCAGAGCCGGCCACCTTGCCCCGATGCTGCATGGATGAGCCAGCAGTGGAAGCAAGGTGTGTGCCATGCCCAGCCCCTGGTTCAGCCATGGACCCCCGCATATCCCTAGGACAAAGACACCAGAAGGGGGCTCATTCCTGCCAGGCCTGAAAGACAGACCCTCAAGCAAACCAACAAATAACCAGACATTTAACCATTAGAAGCTGCTGAATTTACGGTCATTGTGTCCAGCTATAGGTCTTCCTTTGCAAATTCCATTACTTCTTTGCATTTGGACCAAATCTTCAAATTGGAAGGGTCATGCCCAGGTGCCTCCAGCCAGGCCCAGATGTGGCCATGGTACCTTCTCAGCCCCTCCTGGCCCCAGCAGCCCGTCCTGGTGGAGCTCTGAATGGCCCATGGCTCCTCCACGAGCTGGCGAGGGTGCCTGCCTTCTGCCGGGAGTGAGGGTGCCTGACCGCAAAGGAGCCACTGCCGTCTCCAAAAACACAGCAGGGGACAAGAAAGCAGAAGGACCACTGGGAGAGATGGTGGCAGTGGACGCAGGCTGCTCTCCCGGGGCTCCCAGCACCCATCCAGAGTTTCCAACAGCTGAAGCGGAACATGTGGCCTGGCCCTTTGCAGAGCGCCTACCCAGAGCTGCCTGAGGGACCCCAGCGGCAGGTGAGAGGAGGGTCTCAGCTCAGAGCATGGTGGGGGAAGCCCATACTCGGGGCCTGTCCTGAGGGAGCTCCATCTGTGTCAACATACTCCCATGAGAAAACAGGCCAGGGGACTGCAGTCACCATGGAGGAGGACCAGCAGAGAGGACACAGCCCAGGGGAAGAGGGGTTCCAAGCAAGGGCACCACGGTCAGTCCACCAGCCTGCAGGCTCCCAGGCAGCAAGTGAAGAAGCTTCTCTGCAAGGAGTGTGGGGCCCCTGGGTACACGGGGATGAGGCGGGGGGCCCCGGGTGCATGGGCTGAGTGGCCTGGCCAGGCCTCGCAGGCAGGTATAGCCTAGTGTCAGCCCAGGCTGGCTCTTTCTGCAGCTGGCCAAATGAAGGCAGTGCTGGCCCACTGTGGGCTGTGAGAGCCAGGAGTGAGCTGCTTAGGGGGCCTGAGACCCACCCCGGCCTGTCCTCACAGCCCCCATGGCTGGACACTCCCCAACAGGAACCTCTCTGCACTCCCAGGCCGGGAAGGGAGTTCCTAAGGCAGCCAGCTCTTGTCAAGGACCTGGGTTAGAACAGGAGACCACACCTCACTCCCTCACTCAGGCCTGAGCACCGGAGCCCACTGCCCCGTGACTGCCCTGAAACCCAAACTCTCCCTGGATGTCCTTGAGGGGCCTGCCAGCACCAGCCCCGCTGCCCACAGCTGTCCCCGACCCCACTCAGCAGCCCACCCCTGACCTGGGTGCACACGCTGTAAGCTCCTTGCCCAGGCGCAGCAGCCGCAGCATCCTTGCCCTCAGCCCTGCCTCCACTGCCCTCACCCCACCTCAGGCTTGCCCAGCTCGACCATGGCAGGCTCCACATCCTGACCAGCATGGCTGCCCAGAGGCCTCTCCCAGGGCCTGGAGCCAGAGCAAGGAGAAGCCTGCAGGAGGAAAGCCACCATCCAGGAGGCCCGCAGGTTGCCCCAAAGTAGCCCATCCACCAAGCAGTCCTCCCACCACTACATCCCAGAAACCTCTCAGAGGCTATGGGCCAGTAAGCCACGTGTTCTCCACACACACGCCAGCAGGACACACAGAGCAGCCCTTCCTCTCCCACCAATCACAGACGGCGTGGGAAGAACACCCATCCTGCAGATGGAAGAATGGCTGCTGGATGCAGGGCTGGGCTGAATGGGCTCCAACTGCCCCACTCTGGTTCCTCTTCCTGGCATAGACCATGCTCTGCTGGACCAGCCTGTCAGGCACTAGGAGCACCTGGGGGCACTGCTGTCAAGGAAGAACCAGTGGCTGGTGAGGGGCCTTCGTGCCTGGTGTGGTCCCTTGGAACCTGCGGAGACCAGGCCCCTGCCTCGTGCCCCACGAGCCTCCCTGCACCTACATGGCTACAGGCCAGATCAGCCCACCCAGCACAAAGCCCCTCTCTGGGCAGGACAACCCACTGGCCCATGAGGCTGGCTCAGGCCAGCTCCCCCAGGCAGCCTGCGCACATTCTCACTCCTGGGCACATGCCCCCCACACTGCACTTAATTCTGCAGGTCCTGTCGCCCCCATCTGGAGGAAGTTGACATCATCCAGCTTCAAATTATCTCTAAAACTTTTATACGCAAAGTCTACAACTCAGTAGAAAATAACCATGGGTCTGGCCGGTTAGCTCTGCTGGTTACAGCACAGTGCTGATAACGCCAAGGTCCAGGGTTCTGATCCCAGTACCAACCAGCTGCCAACAAAAACAACAACAACAACAATAATAACCAGACACATGAGCAAATCAGATTTGACCCAAAACTAAAAGAGAGGAAAAAACAGACAATGCAATGGAAAGAGGGCCGACCCCATGGCTCACTCAGGAGAGTGCGGTGCTGGGAGCGCAGCAGCACTCCTGCTGTGGGTTCGGATCCTATGTAGGGATGGCCGGTGTGCTCACTGGCTGAGCGCGGTGCAGACGACACCAAGCCAAGGGTTCCGATCCCCTTACCGGTCACACAGACACACACACACAGACACACACAGACAGACACACACACACACACACACACACACACACGAAATGGAAAGAGATCCAGATAACTGAATAGGCTTTTTTATTTTTTATTTTTTTTTTAAAAGATGACTGGTAAGGGGATCTTAACCCTTGGCTTGGTGTTGTCAGCACCACGCTCAGCCAGTGAGTGAACCGGCCATCCCTATATAGGGATCCAAACCCGTGGCCTTAGTGTTATCAGCACCACACTCTCCCGAGTGAGCCACGAGCCAGCCCTTGAATAGGTTTTATTAGAAAAAAATAATGATTATTATGTTTTCTTACAAACATGGACTTTTAAAAACCAATTAATACGTTCCAGAGTTTAAAACACAAAATTGCAAATTTTAGCAGAGACCTAGAAACTATTAAAAAAAAATGGAAATGTTAGAATTTAAGTACTATAACTGGAATTACAACCTCAGTGGGTGATTTCAGTAGTAAATTATACAAAAATGAATAGAGAATAAGTAAACTAGAAAATAGGTTAGATGAAAATATCCAGATTTAAACATGGAGAGAAAAAAATATGGAAAATAGAGAAAAGAACATAGAAAACATATGGGATATGATGAAAGTTTCATATATACACAGAGTCGAGGTCCCAGAAGGAGAGTTAAGGATGGGGAAAAAGCAATGTTTAAAGATATAACGGTTGAAAATTTTCCAAAATTGATGAAAGCCATCAAGACACAGATTCAGGAAATACTACACACTTGATATCAACCAGTAAAGGTCTAACACCACCAAAAAACACCTATAAAACCTAGAAGAGCTGGAAGCCCCTCTCAGGCTCCAAAGCTGGGCGCTCGTGGCCCTCGGCCATGCCTCCCCAACATGGCATCCAGCCCAGCAATGACCACCAAGCCACAACCAGAAGCG